GTCATGTCAATCAGATCATTCAACTAATGATGTGACCTCGTTAATCAAATAACAACACTTTGTCCATGGTTAGGAAACACAACCATCTTTGATTAACGAGCTAGTCAAGTAGAGGCATACTAGTGACACTCTGTTTGTCTATGTATTCACACATGTATTATGTTTCCGGTTAATACAATTCTAGCATGAATAATAAACATTTATCATGATATAAGGAAATAAATAATAACTTTATTATTGCCTCTAGGGCATATTTCCTTCAATGTCTAGATTGTGACGTAGATGCAAAATCAAAACTACTAAAGAATTTGAACATAAGAAACAACACAGTTATAAGAAAATTTACTGGAAAGATCAAATGGAGCAGTACAAATCTTAAATAATCATTATAGAGAAGAACACGATGAACCACAGTTCGGGGCGGACGAAGAAATGTAAATCTTCCCTTCGAGTCCTAATTCGGCATCAAAGAACTGCTATGGCAACGACGGGTGAAGAAGTTTGACAGTTGACGAGGAAAGCGACGTCGAAGAAATAGCAGCAATGAAGCGTGTCCTTCTCTGACGACGAAGAAATCAGTTGCGGCTCTAGGATTTGAGAGTAGTGCTCGATAGCTAGAGCGGCACGAGCCCGAAAGTAGTAAAAATAATGACTACGATGAGAGGGGTATTTATAACCCAAGGTGTGAAGAGGTGGCCTACCCCTCCGAATTCTGTGGGTGGAAATTGGTTTGGCCGTTCGCACTCAAGAAATACGTGTCAAAAAATACTTATCCAAGCGATGAGCTCACAACTCAGAATAGTGATTAATGTGACATCTGCCAATAGTTGAACATTTAAAGTTTGTTCGCAATTTCTTCGCCGACAAGACCACAATGAAGAATTATTCCTATAAAGGGCGTTGGAGTATCCGCCTCCTGGAAGCCTCCACAGGGAAGAGTGCCCTCCTTGTCGTTCGTTACACCTTGGCCTTGCACACCTGGCTCCATGGTGTGCTCTGTGCCGCCCGATCTCCGCGGCCGCCCCACACAGCCCTTTAGAAAGCTTTATCACAATCTCTACTACTTAAATCTCTATCTCTACTACTTAAAAAGAACGTAAGATTCCCATTTCACCTCTCTTTCGTCCAACCCTTCATATATACGTCCCACTCTTTTCTTATCCTCTTTGATTTTTCTTCCACCCATTCAATTGTCTCATGTTTATTATCTTACCAAAATAAACACATATTTTGTTGGCAAGTCATTAAATTTTTACCAAATAAGTGCTTAACAATAAAATGGCAGAGAAATCATGGCGATTGCATACAAAGATTTGGTAAGATTTTAGCGTATCAATATCTCTACTACTTAAGAAAAACACAAGGTTCCCATTTCATCTCTCTTTCGTCTAACCTTCCATATATACGTCCCACTATTTCCTTATCCTCTTTAATTTTTTCCTCCCATATTTGATTTTTCTCCCATCCATTCATTGTCTCATGTTTATTATCTTATCAAAATAAACACATATTTTGTTGGCAAGTCATTCAATTCTTACCAAATAAATGCTTAACAATAAAATGGCAGATAAATCATGGCGATTGCATACAAAGATTTGGTAAGATTTTAGCGTATCAATATAATAATATACATGGATTCTCAAAAACAATAATACAATAATAGACGTGTAGTCAGGGGCTAATCTACTAGAATGTTTATACTCCCGTTGCAACGCACGGGCAATTGTCTAGTTTATAAAAAAATCACATAATTTTTGGCACAATTACTATTTTTTACAGTGCATACAACATTATTAGAAACTTCATTTTTTTAGAAATATTATTAGAAACTTCATGACGCACTGAATAAAATCTTAAGGGCCGAAAAGTTCATTTCGGGTACAAAGGCGACTGTAGCCCGTTAATTATTCGGCCCAGTAGCCGAAATTACCTTAAGGGGAACAAGCAATGGTCGTAGCCCACGTACAAAATGGGCCCCCTAAGGCGCTCGAAGTCCAAGAAACAGGCCAGCCTTCCCTCAAAAAAAAAAAAAGGCAGCCCAGCCTACCGCTGCTCCGCCTCACTATCGGCGGCGCGCAGGAGAGCTGCCGGCGGTGTTTGTTGCCGCAGCGGCCATGAGGTGATGACGGCGGCGACGCACGGCACGTAAGCTGCGCCTAGATCCCGCGCGTCTCCCACGAGGAAGATGACGGCGGGGCGGCAACATGAGGCGCGTCGCCACGTTCGCCATCGCCTTTCGGAGTGAATCAAGCGGGGCCGGAGCAGCAAGTCTACGCAGGGCGGCATGAGAAGTTGATGGCGGCGCGCGCGGCATGGAGAACGCGGGCGTCGTCTTCCTTAATTTCCGGCTGCTCCAACACACGCGTCGGCGCAGTGAGCATCCCGAGCCCTCTACTTTTGGGGATTTTCTTCAAGGTTCAGGATTAGGGGCAATCTATGGTTTGGGTTCCTGATTTGGGGAAAGCCACTAGAGTTTTCAGTTTGCAATTCCCCTCCTACTCAATTGTTACCAGCCGTGACTAACGCGAATTGCAGCTAACAGAATTCAGTTCGGTCTTGAACGTAATCATTGGGGATTAAAACGAATCCAGTTAGCTACTAAACATGAGCATTAGCATGTGACATTGACATACCAATAAATTAAGACTTAAAACATGGTCTAACAGTGTCAGTTAATCAAATTCGGTGCATACATGATTAGATCGTTAACTTGATTAACTAGGGACTTAGGATAATCACCACATTAATAACCAGAAAAACAGTAGGAATTAATTTCAAGCACTTAGGATTGAGGAGGCAATGACCGATACATGTTTCAACACTTAATCACGAAGATCAGGCCTATAGCTTAATCAAATAACATCAAGGTAGGCCTATTAGGGTTCTGAACAGAGATCAAGGAGCTCATGATACCAATGATAGACATAATACTTTAGGGTTAACATAAATAGAATGTTGATCTCATCATTAGAACACCCTAAACAGAGCAGAAGCATGTGTACCTGAGATGGGCGTAGGCGCGTAGCCCTCAGAGGCGAAAACATAGTCCCATCCATGTGAACATGTGTGTCTGCACAAGGGGCATGACCTCCCTTTTATACGTGGTGCTAAGGGGACGTGACGATGTTCCATGAGCCAAGCACTTCTCGTCATATTGGACATAGGTCGCGCTCCAACGGGGCGGCGGAAAAAACATCGCCGTGTCAACCTTGTCAGTGTATGGTGACCTTCGCTACAAGACCGTTGTATGCTGCTTATAAGAATTCAATCATATTATTAGCTTGCTCCATTCCAGGGAGAATGAAATAAGATTATTAAATTATTTTATCTCAGGGACATACATTGACAGGAAGTGCACATTCACTGGAACTGTTTTTATCAGAGGCAGAATTATTGCTGGAACACGCCACAGTGCAAAGATGAATAGGACTATTATTGTCCGCAGAAACTGCCTTCATTTTGTGAAAAAGTATCATAGGTAAGTGACACACTGGAGGACTTCAGGGCTATCTCTTATTCTTCTTACTTGCGGTGGCATCTAACTTGGAAGTGAATCCCTTTGCCTTGTAGGTATGAGCAGAGGCACCCCAGTATTCCTGCTCACATTTCTCCTTTCTTCCGGGTCAAGGAATGAGACCATGTCATCATTGGCCAGTGCTGGTATTGCTTTCTAGCTGATGTATTGTCTAGTTCTTTATGGTTTCAATTCTTTTGGCCCGCCTTAAATTACTTGGGAATGTGAGGCTTAAAAGTTGTAACCCTGTGCAAGGACTCCAAAGCTATGTCAGTCTTCCGCTTGCTTTAAAATGATTTTACAAATGAAGGAAAACATTCATTCTTTTGTTTTTACCTATACTTAACCTTTTATGGGAAAATAGTTTGTCATTCCCACATTGGGGTTGGAGTACTTGATGTAGTGCTGTATTGCCGTGGTCATAACCAAGCAACCGTAAATATTATTTTTGATTTTCTTGGGATGAAATACTCTTATGTCACAACTGTAAGTTTACTAATACACAGTGGGGTTCCAGAAACTGGGCGGTTACTTTTATTGCTTCACAACAAATTACTGGGATTCCAGGAACTGATGGATTACCAGTCCCCTGCTTGTCCGGATTCCTAAACTGGGGGACTGGACTTCATTAGATGCTGATTTTTCCTGTTCTGTATGTGCTGCATGCCTTTGTCAAAATCCGTGTGGTTGAACGTCCCTAAAGTCATTCCACCTGTGTCCACAGGTGGCACTGGGAAGAAAGCATTTACGGCAGCTTGAGCTTGTCAAACCTAGTCATTATTATAGATAAAAGTGTCCACTTAGAATTCGTCTAGCTTTGGTGTTTTGACATCTGTTGCGAGATCTTGTGCCCTCTGTGATTTATCTGAACATGCACATTAAATGCATCTGTGCAAGTCTTGGTTTAGATATGTCTGGTCATGCAAATTGTGGCAGTTGTTGCCCAGTGGTTGGCTGGTCCTATGGGCTATGGCAGGCACACTATGAACCTTGTTTGAAGCAATATCATCTATAGCCTGTTTATTTCTGTCTTGTGATGGTGACCTGCTATTTCTTTGGTTTACAACTTACTGGGATTAAGGTAACAAAATATATTCGCTTTTTGCCGAGCTCTTATATTTTCCTTTCTTCTGCTTTTATAGTTAAGCACACCTCTTTCGCATGATCTCATGGTCCTCTTTTGGATATGAGCATTTGCTAATTGTCAGGGCGAACCAATCTTTGAAGCAACTACTTGATCAGATAATGCCTGGATTCTGACAGTGACATGAACCCACCTTTTCACTTCAGGAAATGCTTCATTGTTTAGATGATAGCTGTTCCTGTGGGCAACTGGCTTGTGCGGCGTCTCAAGCTTGAAGAAAGGAGATCGGTTGTTTGCAAGGCATGCAATTTAGGCTGCTTCTTAAAGCACATTCGATCCTGTTAAAATGCCCTGAGACCCATCTCATATTCCGAAGCAATAGTGAGACTTCCAGCCATACAAATGAGCACCAAAGCCATTTCCCTCTATTTCTGTGTACCTGCTGCATTTCTGCTCTTCTTTGCCCATCTCAATAACCCAACCACTTCATTCCTTCGAGCCCTGCTTGATCTTGCAACACCATCCTTTCCATTTAATTTGCTCACAGTTCATTATTTTTCTAACTATCATTGCCATCGTGGTGCATACAACCCGCTTTGCAATGATTTCCCTCCGGACTTCCCACCGCCTGACACCGCAGCAACATCGATCTTCTGTGTCGATCCCAATGGCTGCTGTGACTTCACCACGGTGCAGTCCGCGGTTGATGCTGTGCCAAGATCCAGCCAAAAGAGGAATGTTCTGTGGATCAATAAGGGCATCTACCTGTAAGCAATTTTCCTTTGATCAGGCTGGCAGCACTCCATGTCCAAAGTGCAAAATTGATAACTGTGCTGTTAATGAAGCTGCCTTGTTACAGTGAGAAAGTGACAGTCCCTGCTACCAAGCCCAACATCACATTTCAGGGGCAGGGATTTGATCTGACGGCGATCATGTGGAATGACACAGCTAACTCGTCACATGGAACCTTCTACAGCGCTTCAGTTTCTGTCTTCGCCACCGGCTTTGTCGCGAAGAACATCAGCTTCATGGTAAGTTGGTAACTACAAACATCGCAGATCATGCTTCAGTTAAGCCACACTGCATGCACTTTGAGTAGCACTGTAACTCTGTTAATCATCCTGACACTAGAATGTAGCACCAATTCCAAGACCCGGTGATGTCGGTGCTCAGGCAGTCGCTCTGAGGATCGGTGGTGACCAGGCGGCATTCTGGGGCTGTGGCTTCTTTGGGGCACAAGATACACTGCACGATGACCGGGGCCGGCATTACTTCAAGGAATGTTTCATTCAGGGCTCCATTGACTTCATCTTCGGAGATGCTAGGTCACTCTATGAGGTGAGTCAAAGTTATTTCTCAAGAACTGGAAGAAAAAGCACCGAGTTTGTTCACTAATTGCTTGCTTCCACATGTGCACTCCTCAGAACTGCAGATTGATTTCCATAGCAGATCCTGTGCCTGCAGGGGTGAGATCCATCACTGGTTCAGTTACTGCGCATGCCCGGGAATCCAACAAAGAAAACACCGGCTATTCATTTGTCAACTGCAGCATCGGCGGCACCGGGTGGATATGGCTCGGGCGAGCATGGAGACCTTACTCCCGTGTTGTATTCGCATACACTACGATGTCAAATATCATCGCCTCCGATGGATGGAATGATTGGAATGATCCTTCAAGAGATCAGTATGCCTCTCCTGAACTGCTAGTGTTTTCTGGAATCAATTCAGAATGCACACTAACATCGGTTTGTTCTATGATTTCCATTGCCAGGAGTGTGTTTTATGGAGAGTACAAGTGTACAGGCGATGGCGCACACCTGGCGGGCAGAGTGCCGTATGCTCTTGAGCTCAGCGACGTGCAAGCATTGCCTTACTTGAACACATCTTTTATTGACGGTGATCTATGGCTGAAACCATACTGCGACTCACTAATATCTGCATGAAGTCATAAATTCCCAGTTTAAAGTTATCTAGCATTGTATCACAGACAAGCAAAAGGAACAAGTTAGCACAAGTCCATTTGTTGGATTCTCTCACATACCATATAGTACATTAAATCACCTGTGAAAAGTACATCATTTGGAATTTCAGAAATACTCCCTCCGTCCCACAATATAAGAACGTTTTTGACACTAGTGTAGTGTCAAAAACGTTCTTATATTTTGGGACAGAGGGAGTATATTGGTTTCGACAAAGATTGGATTGTCCTCTGTCACTAATCTACATTTACTTGACCTGGTCATTGTAGCTGTAATATGCATATATGAAACAAAAAACAGTCATGGTGAAAGAAATGATCTGCACATTAGATCTAATAAACCAATGAGAGAAAAGGATACATGTCTTTAAGATAGGTTCACAAGTGTGAGAAGAAAGTTCACAGTTGCAAATCGTTCTGAATACACATTTGGTTGTTGCCTGCTATCTACTCTGTGCTTTCGGTAACATCAGCTGAACAGTTCATTTACATTGCATGAATAACTGGTGAGGTGGAAGAGAGACAAAGGAAAAAAGAGGTCTTGCCTTCTCTTAGCCAAGAGATTATCCCTTATGAAGAAAGATAAGAGATGTGTCATCATTATATGGGATTTTTTTTGTCTTCACATGTTTTCTATTTTTTTAATCATTTCATAATTTCAGGGTCTTGTAAATTTGAATGGTAGAGATAACAATTGACTATAATACATTGTATAACATGTACTATTGCTTTCTCTAGATGATGTGAAATACATAAGGAAAAGATTTCATCGATAATTGTATATGCCATACATAAATCAAAGTAACGCTACGATAGTTACTCATAACACGAAAATGCAATTTCTAGCTATTGCGAGTAATAGTGGTCGCTCGCTCACACGGTGCCCTGTTGTGGTCCAGGCCAATAGCTAAACTTGCCTACACACTTTTTTTGTTTATATGATTTTTGAAATGTGAAAACAATTCTGGTAATTACATGAACATTACACTTGTATGAATAACTTAGTTTTAACATGTGAATCAAACTGTGATTGGATGGTTAGAAGGACACTGGTATCCCCAGCCCATCAGGGTTCAAGTCCTGGTGCTCGCATTATTCCTGGATTTGTAAATCTCAAGATGTCATGCCGGCTCAGTCTCTCGGAGGGGGTAGGGTGTGCATGTGTGCCTTCATAGGGGTAAGTGTATGCGCATATGTATGAGCGCTCGTGTCTGTATTGATGTTAAAAAAAAACTTAATTTTAACATATGTATTTTCAGTAACACACTAATACTTTTAATTATTAAAAAATATAGATAGTTAGATTATATATTTTGAGATTTATGTACAAAGAACAATTTAGTGGGTAGCACCTGAGCGCTAGGCCAACTACTGTCCTCGGCAGGCAATGTTCTCGGTATAACAGACATGTTCTCCCTATCTGACGCTTTGTACGACAGGTTGTCAGGGATTCGCACAGAGCGTTCGTTACTGGGCTGACCCAAACTGGTCAGAATCGTTATTTCGTTTGGGTGGTTTTCTTTAGTTGTCCTAGGCGTTTCTTGTCGTTTTCCCGATACAAAAATTCTTTCTGTGGTTTACTTCATGGAATTGTATTCGTGAACATTTGACCATTCATAAATATTTTCGAGAATACATGTACATTTTCACAAAATTAAGTATTTTTTATCATAAATGAACACTTTTTAAAAATTAGATGAACATTTTTATGTATCCATGAATATATTTCAAAAATAACATGAACAATTTTCAAAACTCAAATGTTATATGGTGGCATGCTTATGGACACGAGACACGTACATCTCTCTACTCAAGCATTGTAATACCAGATCATTCAGTGCTCACTAAACACAAAAGTAATTGACATCAGCGATATGTAAACCAGATTTTGAAATTTTAAAATCCATTACTTTCAAACCACTCAGCCATATTTGTTTCTTTGAAGAAACTAATGCATTCCCTACATACGAACACAAAACAACTTTAATGATATGTGAGCAACTATTTCTCAAACGTGCTTTTCATAACTGAGTAGTCTTTCCTACTTATAAAGTTTGGAGTTGATCGTGAGCTCACATACGGGACCAACAACCTTCACCAATAGTGAAAAGCACCTCTACACATTGTGGGACTAGCAAGCTTTCAAGAGACATAAATAAACAAATGTATTTAATCGCATGTGGAACCTAATACAAATAAAAATATAGTTCTACTTTCTTGTGAGGCCAATATCTCTCGAAGGCACAAATAACAAATGAATAAACTTGACTCCAACTCAACATTATGCTTGTTTTCAATTTCTCTTCTATACTAAGTTCTTCCGGTTTTATATTACACAAGCAAGTGAACAAATTGTAGTTCTAAGAGATAATAGACACTGTCATCTATCGATCCACTATCTTGTACAGTCAACCGAGTAAGGCATATTCTTGTATGTTTCAACATTCAAAATGTTGTGCCTTTCGCATGACATACTATTTTTTGATAAAAGGTGGATTTTATTGACTCAAAAGAAGCATCAAGTGGATACAAACCCAAATAGCACACACCCGGTTTCTGCATAGTCAAAACATGCTAGAAAATAACATAGTCATATAAGGTCAAAGCTATGTGTACGTGAGGAAAAAAGAAAAATCTAAAGTGATTAGATCCATGATTGGCAAGTTACAACAATGACCATATCCACACCAATCATCTCATGATATCACACAGATCATGAGATTTTTTAGCAGCAACGTCTTCAAGAAAGGAGCGACACTCAAGCATTCTCGTCACCGAGTCAAACCACATTGCCAGAATCTAGGTTTTTACAGGGCATACTATGATTGCTTAAGATTCTCAAATGCTCACCTCATGACCTTTAATTGTATTTTGGCTCTTTTCAATCGTGAACCACGTGCAAAGGCTGCAAGACATCAACGTATTTAGACGATTTCCTAATCGAGTGACTTAACTCCTCGTATCTTATAGCTTTGTAGAAACGCAAGGGGCATTGTGCAAGTGTATAAGTCTATAACACTAAGCTTCCTAATTTTAAAGTGCTCAAAATCAATTGAGGTCTTGAATTGAAACTGGGTCACCCGATTTTGACCGGGTCAATAGTTTCACAAAGCTTTCTCATTCAAATCTTTTATACTATACATAGAATGGGCCAACGGCTGCAAAAGGCACATGAACGTGCCCTAGATGCATCTTTCTATAAATAAGTGAACACGTTTTGAAATTATATGCATATTTTTTAAAATGTGTAAACACCTTTTTCAAATATGTGAACAAATACATTTTAACTACATACCTAGCGTGAGAGGCTGAATTGGGCTTCCGACTATGTGCTGCTAGGAGCGTCACATTGGTGGGGCATCTCCATCATTGATCTTTAAACCATGTGCATTCGTCTGTACCGTGCTGTCCAATATGATACTCCATTCATCCGTAGACCGATTCAGATGTCTTTTTTCTCGCAAGCCAAGAGGGGGGGGGGGGGCTGCGACTGCCACGCACGCGCATGACCACCTAGTGTCATCAAAAACCCTCTCCCTCACCCACGCCCTTTCTCGCCCGAAGCGGTTTCCTACATTCATGCTGCTTTAGAGCACTAGCGCCGCATTGATGTCGGCCTAGAGCTGACGTGGCCTTTCACTGGTGTCGGCATTGAAGCGGCTCACCGGCTAAGAGCACCGCTCACGCCGTGTCCCGGTCTCCGTGCCTGTTCAATGTCAGAGAGGCGTTACTAGACGGGACGAGACAAATATCTACCGCACTCAAGCAGGCTGCCTGTCCGCCCGCCTGCCGTCATTAAATAGGCACGTCGACCGAGAAACTAACTCCGGCCCCGCATTGACACACTGCTACCTCTTGAGCACCGCGTTGGTTTTCCCGGAAAGAGGAAAGGGTGATGCAGCAAAGTAGCGTAAATAGTCCCCTCAGTTTTTGAGAACCAAGGTATCAATTCAGTAGGAGACTACACGCAAGTCACTCGTACCTACACAAACAAATAAGAACCTCGCAACCAACGTGATAAAGGGGTTGTCAATCCCTTCACGATCACTTACGAGAGTGAGATCTGATAAAGATAATAATAATAAGATAAATATTTTTGGTATTTTTATGATATAGATTGAAAGTAAAGATTGCAAAATAAACGGTGCCAGAAATAGCTAGTTGACGGGAGATTAATATAATAGAGAATAGACCCAAGGGCCATAGGTTTCACTAGTGGCTTCTCTCAAGATAGCATAAGTATTACGATGGGTGAACGAATTACCGTCAAGCAATTGATAGAAAAGTGCATAATTATGAGAATATCTAGGCATGATCATTGAAGAGTTCTTCTACAAGAGAAGAGAAGATTCCAATGAGTGTACGGCTCCCTACAAGAGAAGAGAAGATTCCAATGAGTGTACGGCTCCCTACAAGAGAAGAGAAGATTCTCCAAAAAGAAGAAGCAAAGAATCACCACCAAGAGAGAGAAGGAGTAGAGATGATCGTTATGAACGAAGATACTCACGGAGAAGCAAGGATTCGGAAAGGAAGGAAAAATCATCAAGGAGCTACACAAAACGAAGACATCAAGCTCATGTTGGTGAATGGGTATCCGGCTCCGACTCCGACAGCCACTCCGAGAGAAGTTATCACTCCGACTCCGAAGATACTCAAGATGAAGGTGTTGCCGGTCTAGCACTTGTGTCAACCAACTCCTACGACATATTTGACTCACCAAATGAAGGAATTGGAAGATGCTTCATGGCCAAAGGTCCTAAGGTAACACACTCCGAGTATGTTGATTTCAATAGTGATGAAGATGACTTGTTAGGTGATGATTTGCTTGTTGACAACTCTAATGATGAATACTATGATGAAACGTCAATTAACCATGCTAATCAAGATAAAATGAATGACAATGATAAGGAGAAGATTGAGGCTCTAACTAAAGAACTAAACACTCTTAAGTTAGCTCATGAAACT